AAACATCTTGAAAAATGTGTCTTTTCCCACAAATTCTGTATGCCTGCAAATTGTATAATATCCAATTTCTAGTAATTATGCAGTTAATTCTCATACTGTATTTTCAGAAAGTTTTGGAATGTGTATCCTCTCCCCAAATTTGTCTCTAATAATACACAATAAATATAATTTAATGAGAATTTGCTTTAGTTGGTCTCTTGTCCCTGGACTTCTTACCATTCATTTGGTAACAGTGTAACAGTGAGTTTAAAAAGCACATTTGTTGTGGCAAGAAAAAGTCAAGAGGAAGTTGATCTGGTGTTTTTGGCTTTTGTGATGATGTCACAATCATCCTGGACATGTCTGATTTTCAGATCTTTCCTGTATATATTCTTTGAATCTATGGGTATTACATATTTAGCATATATCTGTAAATCTACAACATGAAATCAATATTTCTGTAATCAGGTCTTCTGAAGAATATTGTAATCATATAGTGCATTAAAACATTTTTAACTCCTGCTTGACTTAGACACACACAGACATCAACAATCATCATATGAATCTCAACAATGGTGACAATCAAAAGTTTCATGTCGCAATGCATGCTGGATTCCAGGATAGCAGTGTTGTGCCTGAACGCGTTCAATGAACGATAGTTCATGAACTCGTTCATATTTTGGGCGAACGTGAACTGAACGTACTGTATTACTGCCTGATGAACGTTACTGTGAACTCGTTCATTTTGGTGTCTGTGAATGCACGCTCGCTCAGTTTAACTTCGTTCAATAGGGTGCCAGATTTCTATAGAGCCTTCCAGGTGAAAAAACGGCTAAAACACACGTAAACAGGCCTTAATATGTAGCGAAAAAAACACCCAATCTGGCAACACCAGCCACCAGTGTCGTCGCGCATGCGTCATCAAAACAAAATGCAGCATGAGCTCGACAAAGCATCGAGGAGGCGTCGTATGTTCATTTAAACGAGTTTTATGACAAGGTCGGTGAGGATGGGAGAAATCTTACATTTCTGTGCAAACTTTGCCTGTCGATAAAATAATTGGTGTCTGTGGTTGTATATGGGCTGTGGCAATAATAATAATAATAATAAAGAAGCTCGCAGCAACATATGAAAAAAAATATCTATGAACTAGTGCATTTTTTAAAGTATGAACTATGAACTGAACTAGTTCATTTTAAAATTTGTGAACTGAACTTTAAACTAGTTCATGTAGAAAATGAACTTTCCCAACACTGCAGGATAGTATAAAACTCCCATGTGCTAAATTGTGATATCTCTGTGTTTCTACAAGACAGTGTAGCTCTGGTTTTTTGGTTTATACATGATGTGTTAAAAAAATTAGTCATTGTAATTAATTGCTGTGGTTTCACAGTGGTGCTAATGTAACTCTTTTGGTTGAGGATTAAACTCTGAATGATTGAGAATAAATTCCTTAGTGAATGATCTGGCAATATGATGATTTCGTCATCATAATCATTCTAACCGCAATCATTCATAAACTGTGTGTGTGCACAAGTGTGACTTGCAAAAACACAGCTCAAGCAGAAAAAGAAAAACTCATGTCATAGCATCAGCATACCAACTAAAGCAAACACTGATCTCTATAATGGTAACTTCAAACCAAACATTTTCAATTAAACATCTCAATAGCAACTTCTGTAGATGTATGACAGAAATAAAGTCATACTGGTTAATAATAAGTTTAATAATGTGTAATTGCTGGAAGTCAGTTGTAGTTCTTGTGTTTCTCTATTTTCTGTTCTTGTTGTTCCTTTCCTTCTGTGATTCTGCTTGTTAACAGCAGGTGTTCATCACTAATGCTCAGCAATCACTTACATATTCCCTTAATTATATCACAGCAACACTGTCAATGTTACTTTTTACTCTTTGTAGTGTGGATTTTCCTGTGGGGTTGAAAGGGTTAAAGGAGCTGTATGTAAGATTGTGGCCAAAACTGGTACTGCAATCACGTTCAAATTACTGTAGAGCGGTGTATCCCCTCCCCCTCCTCCCTGACTCGAGGTTGCCAGATAGGCTGCAGGATCCAGCAGGAACGTGACGAGCTGCAGCTGTGGTAACTAGAGCAGAGCTGGCAACCCGGATGCCGCAACACTACTGACTTTGTGATTGGTAGATAGGTGGAGGGAGGAGCATCAGACCAAAACACAACATGACAACATCAACATCAGTTGAGGGCTGCAACTTCACTTTTTAAAGGACAATATCCTGGCCGGACTACTGTTGTCAGTGATATAAGTATTTGAAATGAACATGATTTCTTAATGTCTAGTGACATATCAGGGCCATTTTATTATTAATTGAAATAAATTTCTTACATACAGCTCCTTTAACAGTGTAAGATAAAAAGAGACACCCACAAAATGTATTTTATCAGCAATAAACTGTAAGTTATAAAACAGGTTTATACTGGCAACACTGTTGCCAGTAGTTTACTGTAAAATCTTTTTGGGTCACCATTGTGCTGAAGAGTAGAGCCTGTGCTTCAGTCCAGGAGAAGCATTGATGACACGCTACATGTTGCTTTATTTAAAAGGCAGTGACTGTGTAGTTGCTGGTCCAGTGGAAATCTCTTCATTTACAAAAGTTTTTTTGTGGCTTCAAAATGAAATAAGTTCACAATAATACTTTGCTCACGTTATTAATGCATTATAAATTTTAGTTAATACATTTAATGACAGTTGGTCAATTTAAGGCAGTCGGTTTCTGCAAGTGAAATTAGTTAACTCGAGTTTTAGTGCATTTTTACAGTAACAGACTGTAGATTACAGTAAAGAACTGTACAATTAACAGTAAATTACTGGCAACAGTGTTGCCAGTATTTTACTGTAAAAAAAACCCTGGTACGGTCTAACAGTGTTGAATATTGGAACAAACACTATAATAACATCTTAGTTGATCATTCAATATACGTACTTTATTTTTGACAAAACATCCCATATTATTTAACATATGAGCAGAAATTGGCGAACAAAAGCTTATTTGATGTGGCAGTAGTCTTTAATAAAGTAAAAACTTTATAATCTATCCAAAACTAATCAACGAAATCTTGTCTAAATATTCATATTTCGTCTGTAACATATCGCTTAAAAAAAAAAAAAATTAGCATATAAATGTTAATTTGCTCCTTAATACGTTGCTTATACAAAGAGATTTTATTTCAACATATTTCAGTCAATTTTTACTCATCTCAGTATAGCAATATAGTTTGGTAAAAGCTAAACTAGTAGATGTGTTCATGTAAAAATAACATGTTTACTAATGTAAGTGCCAGTGTGAATGAACGACACAGATGTGCGCTGTTGTTTACTACAGATTCATATTTAACCCTTTGACGCGTACGATCACACCGGTGTGATCAGAACGGACAGTGCATCACGTGATCAACTGCTAAATTCAAACGTGCTTTCGCGCGTTGGCTGGCACTGAGCCAGAGACCGACGCACTCAGTGCTGTCATATATCACAACTATTGAGTATTTTAAACCACATAATGTTTATTTTAGGTTTCAGACATTTAAAAACACATAAGTACTAGCAAAACAGTGATTTTGAATTAGTAAAATAGACACTGATGTCTATGGAAACGGCAACAATAATCATTTCCATTGTAATAAGACAAAACGTTTTATTCATATCAGATACACATTGTGTAAGTAGCTTTACATTTTACCCTATTCTTCTCCTAGTTCACCGGCCACTTACTTTCATGTATTTCGTGAGAAACAACAGGTCCGATTCTCTGAACTGTGAAACAAACTAACATGGCGCCGCCCATCGTGCATACAGCTCAACTAACGCGATCGTTATAAATATGTTTAAACAACAAAACACATCCACTTGCACATATTTGACAATCGGAATATCAGTGTTTCATGCTATAGCTAATACATTTGTGAATATTTTGAATAGAAAAGGAAAAAAGACATAAAAGCAGATCATCACTCATTCAGCTCTGTGTTGTGATTGCGCTGTGTCACGTGACAAGAAATGACGCGTCACCATGGAAACATTAAAGTGACAGGTTCTAAATAACGGTCGCCTTGAAAAACTCACGCTGGGGGGTCAGTTAGAATATTTTAAACTTACGTGTGAAAGGGTTAAACAGTCTTTTTGCGGACACTAACGCTTGCTCTCCGTGTTCACATTAACAGATAATGAGCTGCGAGAAAGATAATGAGACCGACTGACATCTCTCTCTTTTCATACATATTACATGAACAGAGAATATTTGTTTTTTATATCAATTACTTCATTTAAAAGAAGAGAATTCAAGCTATATAAAGACATATCTCTCATGCCTGTGTGACTGAGTATTCGCTGAGTTACAGTTCATTTTCGGACGCGTTTCAGAATGGTACGGAGCCCCCCTAGTCCCACTTTGTCAAAAAAAATTATTATAACTATCTCGTGGCCTCAAGATAAGTAACTCGTGGCCTCAAGATAGTATCTCGTGGCCTCAAGATAGTAACTCGTGGCCTCAAGATACTATCTCGTGGCCTCAAGATAGTATCTCGTGGCCTCAAGATACTATCTCGTGGCCTCAAGATAGTATCTCGTGGCCTCAAGATAGTATCTCGTGGCCTCAAGATAGAGATACTATCTTGAGGCCACGAGATACTATCTTGAGGCCACGAGTTACTATCTTGAGGCCACGAGATACTATCTTGAGGCCACGAGTTACTTATCTTGAGGCCACGAGATAGTTATAATACATTTTTTTGACAAAGTGGGACTAGGGGGGTTCCGTAGAATGGTCTTCACTGACAGAGAGAAGGCAGAACTCGTATCATGTTTATTTTTCTTTATTTAACGAAAAGCACAACACTTTGTTTTTATTGTGAGTATACACAAAAAAATAGACACGTATCAGGATCGAATGATGTACAACACTTATATGTAAGATCAAAATCAACAGAGTATTTTGAGTCTCTATTGTACTGATAAGAAAAAAAGCGAGTTGGTATCGCCAGCGCTACCGGGTTAAGGTACCTGGTAGGCTTCAATGAGCTCCTGAGATGATTCTCCCAGGTAGGAAAGCCGGCAGCGAATCACAGCATCTCGCTTATCTTCAACTTGCTGTTAAAAACAAAATTTTGTAAATTGCAGTGAACATTAACAGTGAACACTTCCATCTACGTACAACTGCATATCTATAAAGTCAGGAAGCAGCAGGATATCAGATGTGTAATAGATACATTTACCTGGCAGCGTGAATCAAGCACACTTCTAAGGTTTAGGCCTGCATCCCCACCGTTCATTTTAAAGAAATCCAGGAGTTTTGGAGAGTAGAGGTCCAGTTTTTGCAGAAAGGTTGGCTCCAGTTGAATTTTGGTTATCCTTCTGAACTCATTCTTGATCTAAGACAAAGAAAATAAAATGTAACATTTAATATGCACACAGACACACACACATCATGCTATACTAATGAAATTAAAATATTTAATTGTTTTTAATGTATGAAATAGTTACAAAAGTTATAAGTACTTGCATACTACCATAAAGCCAGCAAAAGAAGAACTAAGGTTTACCTCAGATTCACAAAAAAGAGCTGGCCATCTCTCCATGAAATCTTTGACAGCAGGACAGTGATTAATGATTTCTAATCTTTGAAAGGAGAAAATCTTCTCCATTATCTCACCAATTACCATTTTGTTGTTTTTCTTCTGAATTTCTTTAAGAAGATCAACTCTTTCCTTCTCTAAAGTTTTCTCGGTTTCCCCAAATGGAAATGGCGGCAAGTAGTTTACTTCAGCCTTCCTGGGTATTTTCATGCCTTTGAGGCAAGACGTTTCAATTGTCTTCTTTCTTTTCAAAGAGTTGACCTCCAGCTCTGGACAGGAAAGCTGACTGTCTCTTAATTTTGCTCGATAATTGCCCATCTTATATTTAATCCTCTGTTGCCATCCATACTGTCCATTAAAGGACCCTGGCTCTTTGAGGCATGGGTACTTTTCAATCAACATCTCTACTACGTTCATAATCTGGACCCCTGTTGGATATGCAGTGTAACAAAATATTGTCTCTGCTAGTGTCTCAAGGACACTTCTCGTTACTCTTAGATAGCTCAAGAGGGTGCCACCCTTTTGGTAGGCTTTGTTTCCTTCTGAAAGTAAGAGCTCTGTATCGAATGAGAAAGTTGGTATTTTAAAATTTGCTGGCCATTCTTGAGAACGGCATGATGTGGAACTCTCAGACAGAGATAGCAGAACAGTGTCTTGAGAACTGCTGGATCTGGAGTCTAATGGAAGGAAGGATGTCTCCCTTTCAGAAGGACATAGCACAACGGTGTCCTGAGAACTGCATGACATGGTGTCAGACTCATTTCATAGGATTGGTTCTTCCACAGTACTCAGATTCAGGGTGACAGGTTCAGTTTGTACCACTTTTAAAGTATATTTATCCTCTACATCATTTATTGAGCTCAAGGTGAAAAACTGGCCCCCAAAATCTATGTCTTCATACATTAAAGTAAAGCAGTCTGGAATGTTAAATGTTTCTTTGATTACACGTTTAAGGCCCTGAAGAGTACTGGCGATGCCTGAGGGCAGAACCAATTTGTGAATGACATTCTCTTCAAAAACAATTCACAGCTTTGCAGGGGTACACATCTGCAACAGAAAAACAACAACAATTAAAACAATTAATCCTAATTAAAAATCTGTACACTACAGCATTAACTTTAATAATCATGCATCTAAAAAGAGGGGCAAATATAGTTCTTTAAGGTAGTCAGTAGTCTTCCTGCAACATTGTTAGCAACCAGGGTAAGTAGTCAACCATTTTTCTTTGCTCAAGTAACTGAATGTTGGCATTGTGTTCCAACTCATAGCTCATAAGGTGCTCATTGTACCATGTGCTTAGTAGTCTCACAACAAAGTTCATTACAAACCAAGCTCATTACAAACCAAGATAGACTGTAATACCTCACAAAAGTCTGGCAAGTCTGCAGTGAAGTAGCAACATTCCAGGTTTATTGTTACATAGTATAGTACATGTACCATTGTGACACGTGGATACCTAGGTTGCACCACATCTTTTATGTCATCCTTTAGTACATCCACAGAGACTTGTGAAGTTGTTGTGACCGAAAGTCACATGATCACATTTGATTCATGGAGATGCAATGCAATCATGAGCTGGTGTTTATTTGCAAGGGACAGCAGTATGTTCCTGAAACACCCTGTTGGTCCGACAGCTTTTTGGAAAAAGCCATGTTTAGCTTCAAATCTCATGGTCCACAAGGCTGCCAGAGGGCCAAATTCCTGAATGAGTTCAGGGTAGTGCTCGAGAAAGTGGTGTTTGGGAAGAAGCTTTTTTTGAGGAAAAACTACCAGAATTCTGTGTCGGTGCTCAAAAATCAAAGAGTCAAGGTAGCAAGTTCTCGGCTCTGTATGAACTGGGGCTATCACAAGTTCCACAATGTCTTTTAAGGTCATTAACATCTGGCACACTTCATCATCCTCAGGTACTTTCAAGCCTATCATGAGAGTCAACAGACACCAATTTTCATGTGCATTACCTCCTACAGATCTTTTTGTGGCAAAATGATCAGGAATAAAATGTGGACGATTTGTTTGTTCCCTCCACTTATAAGGGAAAAGTCGAATGCAAATATTGAGCTCCTCAAGAGAAAAATATTTCTTCTTGATCAAGGCTTGATATGACAATGCCAGTTCCACTGGAAAAAGACCTTCAAGAAGGTCATGTAACGTGTAAAGGTCTGGTGTGTAACCAGATGTTACATGAAAATGATGAAGTTCTTCAGACAGTGCAGACTGTTTTTGCAGGCAGAAAGGAGAGTGGCACTTTACAAGGCAAATATTTGATTTGTAAACCCTCAAAAAATACAAAAATACAACAGTCACATACGGCTTTGGAAACAGGCAGGGTCTCTAAGGTAGGTTTGTGATATAATAAGTAACAAGGAGCTAACAATAATAAATAAATAATAACAAAATAACATTGTCAGATTAGATAAATCATGTAGGTGTTGTAATGGTGAAGAAATTGACGCTTAAAGGAGTAGTTCACTTTTAAAAACACTTTTGCTGATAATTTACTCACCCCCATGTCATCCAAGATGTCCATGTCTTTCTTTCTTCAGTCGAAAAGAAATTAAGGTTTTTGATGAAAACATTCCAGGATTTTTCTCCATATAATGCACTTTACTGGGTACCAAACGGTCCAAGGTCCAAAAGACAGTTTCAGTGCAAACTGCAAACTGTTCAAAGGGCTTTAAACATTCCAGACGATGAATAAGGGTCTTATCAAGCGAAACGATCGGTCATTTAAAAAATAAATAACAAAGTTTAAGTTTTATAAGCTCACATGCTCGCCTCGCTCTGTTCTGTGTAACTCTCCTGTTCGAACTCGTTCATCAAAATGAACAAATCTTTTTACGAGTCATTTGATTCATTTAACGACCGAAATGAACGAATTGACTCGGAAAAAGATTTGTTCATTTTGATGAACGAGTTCGAACAGGAGAGTTACACAGAAGAGAGCGAGGCGAGCATGTGAGCTTATAAAACTTAAACTTTGTTGTTGTTTTTTTTAAATGAGCGATCGTTTCGCTTGATAAGACCCTTATTCATCGTCTGGTGTCATTTAAAACCATTTGAACAGTTTGCAGTTTGCACTGAAACTGTCATTTGGACCTTGAACCGTTTGGTAGCCAGTAAAGTGCATTATATGGAGAAAAATCCTGGAATGTTTTCATCAAAAACCTTAATTTCTTTTCGACTGAAGAAAGAAAGACATGGACATCTTGGATGACATGGGGGTGAGTAAATTATCAGCAAAAGTTTTTTTAAAAGTGAACTAATCCTTTAAGTCTACAGATGAATATACTATCCTCTGCTAATGCCAGCGCCCCACCTGCTCCCCATGCTCCTCCCCCCCAGACAGTGTCCTACTTTAGTTCGGTATCAGCATTTTGTGCTCAAAGCTCCATAGAAATATCCTGAAGACTACAATCTCATAGGAAGGTATTTAAATGTGTCTGTCATTCTCTTACTCTTCTGAGATCCTCCTGTTCTGCTCTTCAGGGGGTGAAGTAAATGGTGCCTTAGGCATGCCCTATTGCCTAGGCTAGAAAGCCAAAATGTTTTTTTCTCCTGTCATTCAAAGCAATAAATTGCTTACAAATGGACTTTTTGTCCAACAAGTCCAGTTAATCCTGATGGATGTGACAGACAGCAACATGGTTAAGTCTGTTTTGAGTCATTGTAGAGCAGAACCAAGTCTTGAGCCTGCGGAGGGCACTAAAACTTCTCTCTGCCTCAGAGGAAGAAACAGGGACTACCAAAACAACCTGAACAGGGTTTCCACTTGCCCAAATAATCCACATACCCCTACAGGCAATCCACGAATGATCCCTGCAGCTTCTGCACTGTTACTAAATGAGTAGTTCAATCGAAACATAAAAAGCTGCACTGAAAGTGACTCTCTGTTCAACTCTGAATATTTATCAATCACTGGCGCATCAACCTCTCCACTCAGAAAAGTCTCTTCCAATTTTTGCAAAGTCAGCAAAACATCCTGGGGATCTGTGCATCTACCAGGCCCGGATTGGCTAATTGGGAGCACCGGGAGAATTCCCGGTGGGCCGGTCTGTTTTATTAGCCAGGAGGGCCGGTGTTGTCATGGCACTGGGTTGAATGCTTTCCCTATAGGCTACAGTCACAGCACAGCCCCACTATTTTTTTATTATTATTTTCTCGCAGCCCCACAAAAAAAAAAAAATCAGTTGTTAGAGATACGAGATATAAAACATGGATAATAGTAGCGCCTACGACTCAGGGCCGTACCCACCATATCGCAACGATAACCGACCTCATCATCAGCACTCAAACACCGCTCGTCGGCAATGGCTAAATGCTTGAGATGACCGATCAAAGCAGGATTTATGTTCACAGAAGCGCGAATCCCAACGCGACGCTTCACGAGATAAGATGCAAGTGGCTAAACTAAACAACTGTTTTACGATAGAAGTTTTAAACGACTGACATAAATAATCAGTTTGCAAAGACTATCAATCAAAGCTCAGCTTCGGGAAGGGGAGATTTACAGGTAAAGATAAAGAGACTGAGAGAAGAAGAACGAGAGAAGGAGATGGAGATGAGAGAGGAGAGCAGAAAGAGCAATAGCCTATTGCATACTGTGCCCAGAATGAGAATAACTTTATTACAATGGATTCCTATTTAACACAGATATACATATGTTCTTTGCCAATGACAGTGGAAAAAGAATATGCCCCAGAACCCCCTAGCAAGATCACTTTTGGGACCTTTGTATTTATAAAACCCTGTGTACGGCTATTGCACTGAATAGAAAATTATATTTTTGAAAAATACAATGAATTACAAGGCTGTACAGAAAAGTGCACTATTGCTTATATACTGAGGTTTTAATTACATTATTTTAATATAGTCAGTCGGGAACTAAAGTGGGCCGGTCTAAGGCATGAAACTCCAGGGCTGAAAATGAGTCCCACTCCGGCCCTGGCATCTACAGTATCTAGGGCTTTAAAGAATTCCACTCTGTAGTGGTCCTATGCAGATTTAAGCTGATGTGCTTCAACTCCTCCAGTGAAGCATTTTGGGGGTGGTCTGCTCTGTGGAATTGTAATGGGCTTAACTCCTAAAGACTGAACCATGGCCATCACCTCTTTAAACTAAATTTGGTAGCTTGCCTCATTTCTTTTGGCCATGAGTGAGGTCCTGACAACTTCAACAGCAGCCTTCATGCCAGCAACTGTAGCAGTTCTCTTCTGAAAAGAGATGTTCAGGCATTCAAGCTCATGAACCACTGGTGAGGCAAGTTTTAGACCCAACACTGTTTTGCCTTTACGAAACTGACCTAGCAAGCCATTAGCAGTAGATGCTGTGTTTGAGGCACCAGAAGCCATCTCCTCCAAGCTAGCAAGCACTGATCCATACTGTGATAAAACAGCTGTGATGGCTTTGTTCCGTACCGTCCATCTTGTTGGACAGAGCGGTTTTTATTTTGGTGTAACATGTATTCTCTGCATGAATTGCATTAAACTTCCCTGACTGAGATAACAGGACTCCCAACTGGTGGACCCAATCCAAGGAGTCTCTGATTAAAACGGAGGCTAAGCAAGCTTTCTGTGCTATTAAATTAGTACAGTGGGCACCACAGTGAACGTAGAGTGCTAGAGGCTGCTCTTGTTTTATCATTGCCTGTGCCACAAA